CTTCTATCATACTTTCACTGCCTCCACTTCAGTCTGCAAATTATTTAGTGAATCAGGTTCATCATCCAAAAAGTCAGTCTCCCTTAAGAGCTGAATCCAGTCTTACAACAAAGACCTTTATCAATACCCAAGTCTGACTCTGCACCTCTGTCTGTCATTCCTACTGCTTACTTATTGAAAAGTTTTTCAGCAGCTTCTTCTCTAAAGAGATTTTGGCCCCAAGAGTGAGTGTGTCTTTAAAAAACAGACCATCACAGCACATGCAGTCATTATTACCACCTTTCCCAAACAGTGCACATCCCTCACAACCTTTGTCCTGGTCATAAAGCTGCTTGGTTTATGATTTTGTCTACCAATTGTATTACAGTAAAGTTACAGTTACACCCACTACTGTGTATATTTTCATACTTACTCTTTTAGGTTATCATAAGCTTCTTCCAGGCGGGCCTTTTCTTTACTAGTACTTAATAACTGTATTTCCCTCTTCTCCAGTTTCTCAGTTAATGAATCAATCATCTGGACAATGTTTTTACAGATAAAGATCAGGTGAATGGGACAATTAAAACACAAGAGGGGCAGGCTTCCCCTCTCCCCCCGCCACTCCCTCCCAACACTATTTAAAGCTGAACTGGTCAAGGTTTTTAGGAACTCGAGGTAAAAGTCAGTGAAGATTATACCATGTCTCTGCCACCTTCACTTAGAACTATATAAACACAAGACACCTGTTTTGTACAGGGACAGAAATCCTACTAACTAAGCACTTGTGGCTCAGTTGAATCCCTCACCAGTTCATCAACAGTTATATTTAATTATAAACTAAGTTTTCAAACAGAGCAGGACAAAACACACTCCTTCAAAGCTCCAGTTCAGCCTTCCATACACTTGAATCTCCCACTTGGTCACAGTCCTAGTCACTCCATCTATCTAAACTAGCCATCTAAGTTTCTTTTAATCTATTTGCTATCCATAAACTATCCTTACCTACCTCATTAAAAACATCTAGTGTACCTTGTTTTTAAAAATAAAGATTATTTCTGCTAAAAGCAAAGGTTATTTTCTCTAGTCAAAAGGACTTGTTTACACTACCTACCTCTGTCCTCACAGAACATGAGCAATGCTCCTGGAATGTAACTGAATTTTGTCAGCTTGTAAGAGTGTGGAAAGAAACACTTGCAAAATATCATCTCCATTATTGCTGAAATACTAAAGCCTAATAGTTCCATAACTCAAAATACTTCAATGAATCCCCTCCACCCTTCAAAGGAAATAGACACTAAAGAATTAAGATGTCAAACATGGTACCATGATTTCCTGTTTGCTGGCACCACTCACAATTCACAGTAATGTTAACTAGGTTTGTTAGGTGAAACTCAAACCTACTTGACCAGAAATTTCACCAGTATTCTTCCACTGCACAAGATGAAGGACAGTTTCTACAAGGTAAGGCAGCTCAGCATCAATTAATTCATTCAGATAAGGTGAAGCTAACACCTACATAAGGAGATGATGGGAGTTTTGTTTGTAATTAAATGATGTGTTCACAACAACAACAACAAAGTTTTAGTTACCTTTTCAAGCTCTTGCTTTTCAGTGTCCTCTTCTGGCAATTTTTCAACAGCACCCTGCTGCTGTGGCTCAGTCTCCTCTCTAACAATCTGCTCTTCAGCAGCTGGCACAGCAGCAACCAGAACATCTGGCTGCTCGGAGTTAACGGGGGTCGCGCTTCGCCCGCTCTCCTCCATCTCAGCTTCCTCAGCAGGTAAAGCTGGGGCATCCTTCAGGGGTTCAGGTTTATCCTTCAGGGCACCCACCATCTCTGTCTTTGGTGCAGAAGGACTGACAGCGACCGATGCTGAAGCAGAAGCCCTGCCTGATAACTCATCATCTGAATTTATTTCACTGACACTTCTACTGTCTAATGACTGTACACTAAAAGAATCGATTCTTTCAAAAGCATCAGAGGAGCAGCAGCTCTCAGTCATTTTTTGGAAGTCATCTAAGCGATTATAATCTGCACAGGCAGACGTTGACAAGAGCTGAAATGATGTTTGCATCAGATGAAGACTCGACTTTGAATCTGCAGCTTCTTGTCTAGAACTCACTGAGCTCTCACTTATCACACTCTCATGGTCCAGAACCTCAATATCGCTGGTTGTGGATGTCCCGGAGGAGAAAGTGCTAACTGGAGGTGAGGGTGTGTTGCTTTGCCTGTCCTCAGTCTTTCTCTCCTTAGCCTCCAAACCCACATCTTTAGCAGCTGCATGAGGAGGCTGTGAGGAGCTGCCCCTGCCTGGAGCACCTCCCACCCCCTCCCCTCCTCCCCCGGATTTTTCATTAAGAGCATCCTCAGGTACTTGTGAGTTTTGAGCAGACGCTTTTTTGTCAGTAACTTCATTTGTGCTTTCTTCATGCTTGGCATCAGGTTTAAGTGCAGAATTCTCTTCTACCTTCTCCTGAGGAACATCAAGGTTTTTCAAGTCCACTAGGCCAGCTACAGAAGAATCCTTCACTTCTGCTTCTGTCGTCACCGGTACTTCCAGCTGACTGGGGTGCTGAGGCTCCTTTAAAGTGCTTTTCACCTCCTCTTTGGGCCGCTGGGATTTGGCTGGAGGTTTGGACACCACTGGGTTTTTCTGTATGCTCTGCACGTCTGTCGGGGAGAGAAAGGCACTGAAGAAGTTTTCAGACTCATCGACCACCGTCCTCCTCACAGGCTTGGTGATGGCTGTGGGCGACACCGGCTGGTTCTGCGGCTCCGCGCTGGATCCCAAGCCCCAGGAGGAGGTATCCCATCCTCCACTGATGAGGGAGTTTGTTCCTGAAACAATAAAGAGAGAGACAAGGCACATGTAAAGTGCTGGAAGGGTAGGAGGGCAGGCCTGGAGCCTATCTGGACAGCAAAATCAAGCAACAAGTGAAAGGGAAGGTGCTGTCCTTTAAAAGCAGAGGATTACACAGATACCAGAAGGAGGAAACAATTGCTAAGTCTTAAAAGTTGTGTCAGTGGCACACAGACAAGCACTTCACAGACCATTACAGAAAACAGGAGGGAAAAAGCTTTAAATATTTGTGGAATTTACAGTGTAAGAAGGGTTCTTGCCCTTTCAATTTGTCACAGGCTTCATATTTTTCCTCACACACACGGCCACGCCACGAGGCTGACACACTGTCAAGCAGCCCAGCTGAGCTGAGTTTTCTTCCTGTTCTGTGGAGAAATACTGAATCAATCAGTACTGAAGCTGCCCTAAAATAATGTCAGCAGTTCCTATTATTGGATATCTTGCAGGATTTCCAGGACTTGGCACCAACAGCAAGGCTAGTAAGAATTTCAGCATCAGATTTCAGTAGTAACCCAAGAGATTAAAAAATAATACCCAATTTGACTTTGTATCTCCAAAAATAATCTGGAGAATGCATCTGTTTCAGGCTACTTAAAAACAACCTCACTTCATACAGCATTATCTATTAAGAAACATTTGAGTTATAATATTTAAAATATCACTTTCAGGAACTGTTGATAGTTACTGGCCTCAAGATCTCAAACAGATAACCACAGTGCTCATTGCCAAAGATACTACAAACATCTGATTTATTGTTACCTTGTCTATGATTCAATAGCTTCAGAAAAAAAAACATGAGCAAACAGTAACATTCAGAAAAGATTATTATCTCTTTTAAAAACACCTTTTCCCTGATAAAACAGAAACAGGCTGATCTTTGCTGCTTTCCTTATGAACTGCAGAACTAATATAAGTACTAAAATACACATTAAATTTAAAAACCATCTGGACAAGTCTAAAGCTTTAAAAAAACTAAGCATGACACCAGTCTTCCATAAACAATTCCTGTAATTTAAGACGACACTGGACTACGTGGCTGCTGAGCCCTTGCTCCAACAGAGGGCTGAAGACCTGCAAACCTGACCCTCAGCTCTGCTGAGCCACCAACCTAGAAAACACCTCCAACTGTCAGAGCCCTCAGTTTTCAGAAATCTAAATCTGATGTGGGTACACTGAGAAATAACCCCCTCCTCTTCTCGAGGTAGCTGCAATAAGGACACTGATTCCAGCTGACTTAGTTTCCCAGCCCTTTCTTTCTTTATCCTTATCTTTAAGGTATTATTTACAGGGAAAACGTTTCTAAGGAGAAAGCTCTTTCACGCCCAAACAGCAGCATAGGGTTGATCACTGGTTTAGGTTCTACATCAGCACACATAGGGCAGAGACACTTCCTCATGACCAAGCTGTAACAGGTCCGCCAGAAGCAAATTCCTTTCCACAGATGTTGGGGAATTGTGAATTTAGCACCACAAAAGTGGAAACTTGCTTGGTTTACACAGACGAGATGTTCAGCTTCCACTCTGCTCTTCCTGGCACACATGCCTCAGAAAGAACATCATTATCCCTTTCTTATTAACTAAGTAGTTTTTAATCACTTAGTAGTCCCTCGGCAAAAAAAAATAACGCCTTGGGAAACAGGGTTATGAGGTGCCGTGCTGCCCATGCAACAGAGCACAGCGCTGGCGACCACCTGCAGGTCCCGCGGGTGCTGCTGAGGCGGCCGCAGCTCTGGGTCAGGGTTCTCTCTCCCTCACCTCCGGAGGGAAGCAGAAACACGACAGGCTTTGGACAGAGAGAGCCGGGTAAACCCCCCGGGTGTAACCCCCGCCCCGGGTTAAGGGGAGAGACA